AGCTATATCACATAAAGGGAGTTGTGCAGCCCAGCACAGAATCCATTCAATAAAATTTAGCTATTAATCTTTGTATTGTTATTATAAAAATTTGTATTATATTTTGGTTGCTTTGATCAATAGGAAATAAAACACTAAATTTAAATTGCATACTTTTTAAATAGAGAATTATTGTTATTACTTTAGTACTTTTTCCCACTGAACCCAGAGCTGGCCTCAGAGATTTTCTAGAAAGGGTGTTCCAATCATCCGCTATTAGTAGGTTTGGAAATGGGATATGAGAAGAATGCATTTTCCATTCATGATCTTATAATACACCAGATAATACATTCACACTTGGCTCTAAGTTGTAATTGAGGCAGAATATTCACACAATCCCACCTCACCTCCCCTGTGATGTTCACAGTGCTCCACTCTTATTTTCTACATTTGTTCATGCTGCTTCCTACTTTAATAGAGCCCAAAAAAGCTACAAGCTCAACCACCTTGAATTTTTCCTTTTGAGGTTGTTACAGTATAGGAAATTACTACCCACAGCTCAACCATTTCCTTTTATTCGCAGTCACCTTTTCCTGTTTATTTCCCCTTAGAAAGCTTCCATCTTTGAGTTCATGTAAAAGAAAAATAAGAGCGAACACTAATAATAGTATTTACCGTGTGCTGAGCACAATCTTAAAATATTCACATATATAAAGTTAACCATTTAAAGCTCACCAAAACTAGGTAGATAACGTTATTCCCTTTTTAATATATCTTTTGAAAAAACTAAGGCATAAATATGGAGTCGCTTGCCCAAGACTCACTGCTACTAAGTAGCACAGCCAGAGTTTGGAGCCAGGGAATGTGCTCAGAGTCTATGCTCATGAACACTGAGCATAATTACTCTCAAGAAAAAGAAAGACAATTAGTCTCTAGTTTCCCTTCATCTCGTAAATATCCTTCCTCCATTTTCCAGGCTTGACTCCAAAGCAGGTTTTAATCAAGACGGCTTATAAATAACTCCATTTAGTTCCATCCTCCATTGCCCTTTTAACTTCTAATAAGCACAGTTTCTTTTGAGGGGGGAAGCCGAAGAGATCCTCAAAGGCAGGCTGACTTTTTGGGGGCTCCACTATTCTTCTGGGATAAACTGTTCATAAGCAAGATTATATATTCTTTAAATTATTCCAAAATGGAGCTATAATATACTTACTGATTTTTGATAAAGGGAGTTGATATTCCTGTTTCATATCAGCCAGTTTGGAAACAATGAGTAGGAAAGAGGCAAAATCCTTTGTAACTGCCATGTTATACTCATGTAAAGCATCACTGAAATCCTCCGGGAGATCATCAAGGAACACCTAGAAGCCAAATATTTTTCAGAGATACCTATATATCTTCCTTGGAAACTGAATCTTTGGAAGAAGAAAGGTAAAGAGCGATGCAATGTAATTCCATAGTTATCTCTTTATTCAGTAATGCCACTGATTCATTTCCTTATTGGTGAAATTGAGGTGAAATTCACTTTTGTTTCTGTTTGCACTCATGAAAATCTTACTCTTCACTCCTAAAATTTTTCTTTGACAATACTTAGTCAAAACCACTTTTTAAACAGTAGCATGCCCTCAAATGACATTAGACTTGTGAATATTTCTGAAGAATCTACTGACACATTTAGAGAGAAAGCAACAAGATAAAATATACTTGCATGCCTAGAATAAGCCTCACTTGGTTCTGAGACTATTTAATACCTCACTGGATTCATTTTTTTTTCTTCAAAATTTTATTTTATTTTGTCAATACACAATGTGGTTGATTATTGTGGCCAATTACTGAAACCTTTGATGTCTGAAGTAGAATCTGTAGCAGTGATCCATTTTCTTTCCTAATACTTGTGCTTTTTTCTCCCTTTATTCTTAATGAGGCTTGCTAGGGATTAATAAGTTTTATTATTCTTTACAAAGAGTCAGTTTAGGCTTTGTTGAATTCCGTTTGGTAAAATTTTTTCAATTTACTTTACTTCTGTTCTCATTTTACTATTTATTTCCTTCAGTTTATATTAGGTTAGATTTTCTGGTTTGGTTTGGTTTTTCCTAGCTTCTTATGCTGAAAGTTGAAATCATTGATTTTTTTCAGCCTGTCTTCTTTTCTATATACATACTTTCAAGGCTATAAATTTTCCTCTAAGCATTACATGAATTACAATTTATAAGTATTTTCATGTTTTCTTCATTATTATTTAATTTTAAATATTTTATAATTTTCATTTTATTTCTTTTTTGTCCTATGTGTATTTAGAAATTAATTTGTCTTACTTTCAGGCAATTGAGGTACTTCTGGTTCTTCTGGTCAGTGTCTACCTAGCATATTTTTTTCCATCATTCTATTCTTAATCTTTCTGAGATCTTATAGCTAAGATGTGATTTGTATAAACAGCATATATGGTCGTGCATCACTTAACAACAGGAACACATTCTGAGAAACCATCATTAGTCAATTTCATCATTGTGTGAACATCATAGTGTGAATAACATTGTGTTAACTTACACAAAACTAGATGATGTAGCCTACTACACACTTAGTCTATATGGTATAGCCAATTTCTCCCAGGCTACGAACCTGTAGAGCATGCTACTGTATTGAATAATGTAGGCAATTGTAAAAAATGGTAAATATTTGTGTATCTAAACTTACCTAAATAAAGAAAAGGTACAGTAAAAATATGGTAGTATAATCTTATGGGACCACCCTCATTTAAGCAGTCCATTGTTGACTGGAGCATTACTATGTGGCACATGACTGTAGTTGTATGTATTTTATTTATTTTGTTTTTTGGCAACTGGCTGGTTTGGGGATCTGAATGCAGTTGTGTGTATTTTAAAATACAATCTGAGAACCTTAGTATTTTATTTGATGTATTTAGTACATTTATATTTAATGTAACTTTATATAATTGAGTTTTCTATATTATTATTTGTTTTCTATTTGGGCCATCTGCTATATATTCTTTTCTCCTCCCTTCTTGTATTTTTTTCACCTAATCTTTTTTCATTAACATATATTTGTGAGTTATTTTACTAGTATTTTAGTTGTTATCCCAGAGATTACAAGATACATTTTTAATTTTACATCTCAATATTTCCAAAACTTTAAAACATTTAAGTCTATTTATCATTCTCAACTCTTGCATTATGATTGTCATGAATTTTAGTTCTACATATATTTCAAGTTTTATAATACATCGCAATTTGGGGGTACAGTGTATATTCATTTATGTCTACTCAAACACTACCCTTTGAAGTGTACTTCACTTCACCTTGCATTTTCATGTTTCCAAATTTTGAATTTTTTCATCTGCTAAAGTTTATGATATTTCTATTGTTGCAGACCTGATAGCAGTGAGTAACCTCAGGTTTAATGTCTGAAAATATTTTAACTTCATCTCTATTTTGAAGACTGTTTTCACTAAGTGTAGAATTCAGGGTTAGGAGTTATTTTATTGAGCACATTAACAATATTGGTCCATTGTCTTCTAGCTTCCATTATTTTGGTTAAAAAGTCAATTATTATTTATTATTGCTTCCTTTATGTGTGTGTCACTTTATTTTCATTTTAGCTGATCTATAATTTTCTCTGTGGTTTTTTATATAATAAATATTACAAGAATTCAGGAATTTTTATTTATCCTTTAAAGAGTTTTGGTATAGCACCTCAACATTTCATGCAGATCTGTTACCCAACATCCTGTGGTGAAAACATGCTATACGTTTGTAGTCTCTCAAGTTTCTCATCCATGGAACCCACTGGGCTTTTTTAATCTCATGAAAGAAGCCCTCTGTGAATGCTAAATCCAGTTTTCAAGCCATTTCTGGAATTGACACATTCCTTCAGACAAAAACTATGGCTGGAGATTCCTATCATGCCTTGGAAAAGTTCTTGCCTCTGTACAGTTTTAGCACATCTACTCCTCATTGCATCCACAGTTCTCTGTTGCAGTAGCAGTGGTGGCTGCCCACCATATCCTACCTGGAATGGACCAATTTCCAATAATCTTTAAGAGAAAAAGAGACAGCAGGCTTCCATTCAGAACTTTCTTGTGTTGTATTTATTTTTATGACAATATCTTCTTTATTAAAATAGAAATACTGACTTTTATAAGTTAAATATAAATTTATTTAAACAGAACAATTAAATAATATTTCAAGAATGTATGTGTGAAAAAGTGCAAAGAGTATGGGTCAGTAAGTAAAGTCATGTTCGCTGGTGTACAGGACATTCTGTGAGGGCATAGATTTGTAATTCAACATTGTGGAACTATTTTTTTGTTTCATAGCACCTCTTTTCTAAGATTATTTACTATAAACCAGCCTATCCCACTTTCTCAGATTCTAGTGAAATACCATAGTATCAGATTCTAGTGAAATACCATAGTATTTAATGTTGATTTAACAATGGGGAATCATGACCATAGAAAATGTTTTAAATAAAATTGGAAAAGACCTTCTTTTGGTTTCTGTGAGTCGAAGGATGATTTCTTAGATGACAATTACAATATTCTCTCAGTGAAGACATTATAGTTCACGAGATATATTTCCTTTCCTAGTCCTAACTCAAGGTGAAAAGGTGTAGATTTAGCAATGGGAATGGTAGTTTCACTTAAATGCATAATTACATACATATTTTATTTAGTCACTTAATTCTGTAATTTGCTGCAGTCAAATTAAAAACATGAGTAAGACCAATCCCATTTTTCCTCAAGACATTTAAGCTTTTGATAGATTTTTAGAGGATTTTAAGAATTACAGATTAAAATATCACACTGATTACAAAAAGAACAAATTATTCTGCAAGACAAATGAACGATCCTACATTTAATAAAATCCAATTGCTGCTGAATCAGTTCTGGTAGGATCTATTTAATGATCTTAATTATTAAATTTTATCAGACTCATACACTTTACCTTTGATTGATAAAACTTGAGGTTAGCATCTTGGAACTTTGATGGAAAATGTTTCCTTCCAAAGAGATGTGCCAATACTAACACCAACTTTTCCATAACATCTTGAGAAAAATGTTTTGAACCTATACAAAACAAAGTGTCTTGTTGTAAACATGAAAAAGTGTAATTCCAGTTTTTCATGTTTACATTGAATTTTATATTACATTTCATTTCATGGAACTAAAAATTTGAGACAAATATAGCAACTGAGGAATGACTATGTCAGCTGACAGCTTTCATCTATTCCTTCTTTTCCATTCTTGCTATCCACACCCTAGCTCAGATCCTAGTTATGCCAACCACAAATTGCTTTATATCCTTACCTAGATTTTCCTGGATGATCATCTCTCCTAAATAATTTTATGATCATGTCTCGTACCTACTCAAAAAATCTCTGATGACATTTCAATGCCTTATAAACAAAATCTAACTTTCTTTTTTTTTTTTTTTTCCTTTTTGTCTTTTTCCGTGTCCGGCAACAGATCGCAACCCTCAGTGTCGCGCCCGTACCGGACCAGGACCAGCAACTGGATCGCAACCCTCGGTGTTGCTCCCGCACCTCGCTCAGCCAGTGAGCGGCCGGTCTGTATGTGGGATCCGAACCCTCGGCGGGAGCGCCACCGCACTTCCCAAGCGGCGCACTGTAGCAGTGCGCCACCGGGCCAGCCCTGTAACTTTCTTAGCTTAGAACTTAAAGCTTTCCAAAATTCAGAACATAAATAACCTCCCAGTCTTATCTTTCTGTCTTACCTTTCTACCATTTATACTAAGTTATTGTCAACTTGAGTTACTCTATTCTTCGTAACACATGAGCACTATACTGTAGTGATTAAAAAGTTGCTACACTTGATAACTTGGGCTCTAGGGTCAGACTACCTATATATATATTTTTTTCCTTTTTGTCTTTTTTCGTGACCGGCAATGGAATCGCAACCCTCAGTGTTGCGCCCGCACCTCGCTCAGCCAGTGAGCGGCCGGTCTGTATGTGGGATCCGAACCCTCGGCGGGAGCGCCACCGCACTTCCCAAGCGGCGCACTGTAGCAGTGCGCCACCGGGCCGGCCCCAGACTACCTATATTTGAGTTTTGGTTCTGACTTATTAAAAGTGTGGAACCATGGCAATTTATTTAACTTCTTTATGCCTCAGTTTCCTAATTTACAAAATAAGGCTAGTCCTATTATCTGCCTCATAAAGTTATCAAATTTTCTATACCCATGTTTAAAACCACATACACCTACCCACCCTCACATAAATTTAAAAAATACACTGTAGATCTAATGGCCTGAAATTATTTCTCCTTTTTACAGAACTTTTGAGAGACATAGAATTTTCTGGGTAAACTTTTTTCAGAACAAGTCATATTCAGAGCCTAGTAACTCAACCTATTGTGCAAAGTAAAGCATTATCAATTAATAATAGAATATAAAGTAATATTGTGAAAGGCATTGAATTCACCAGGCATTAGGAAATATAATAACATTAGGCACAAATATTACAAGAGAAAAACATTTATTTTAGGTGCACTGTATAAGGGATTTATTATTTAAATGTACCAATCAAAGGCTTTTAATAAAAATTGTATTAAATGGAATTTATTTAAAATTTTACACAATATGTGCAAAAATTATGATATGTTTGGGGGAAAACAAGATTCTAGATTATACAATTAATATAATATCAGCTATGTAACTATATCCAAATAAAATATGATTGGAAGAAAATGTTCACAAATATTAACAATGATTATTTGTGGATAGTGGAATTATGGATAATTTTTTATTTCTAACATAATGCTGTCATACATCATTTTTTACGATGAGCATAGATTATATTTAAGTAGAAGAAAATATTTTTTAAATTGTATATATTTTAATATGTTCTGAATCCTGAAAACAAAGAATCACTAAAGTTAATACTCTAGTGAAGCTGACATTTTAAAACAGTTATCACAAAATATGGCTGTCTCCCATATAATCTATGTTATTAGGTATTTTATTTTATTTTATCTGGGAATCTACAAGTTGTCTACAGATTAACTGTATTTTCTTTATAGAAAAAATATTCCTGAAGTGTTTACTTTCTATAAATTTGTTGCTATTTTTGGACTATATGTATATATTTCTATATACATTTATAGGAAACCTCAAGCTTACCTTTACTGGTTGGCTGACAAAGATTGTGAAAAAGGCCTTTTACAAGAAAACTGACAAAAACAAGATTAGAAGGTTCATGGTAATGCAAATGTGATACAAGTCCAGCAAACCCCATAGGATTGGCTTCTTGATCTAAATAGCCCTAAAGAACAAAAACAATTTATTAGTTTGACACAACTTGCCACATAATTAATAAATGGCTTATTAAGTGCAAGTTTTAATAATTATATTAATTATAAGTAAGATTAATCAATCAAAGATTACAATTAATTTGGTATGGTAAGAATCTAGATGGTAGCAATCTCATTTTACCAAAAAAAAAAAAAAAAAAAAAAAAAAAAAAAAGCGCAATCATACCTCCTTCACCAGGAACTGCAGAGTAAACAAGAAGTAAAGTTTTAACATGTGCATGGTTCTGGGGCGTTTGAAGGACAGCAATGAATGCTTTAGCACTGACAGCACCTTTAAAGAAGAGCACTGTTATCCACATAGTGTTAAGTGTTATGAAATACATTTGTAAATTATAATATAATATAGCTGTTATCCATGTCTATTATTCCACACTGATATCAGTAGTACTTAAGATTCAGTTAGATTTTATAGTATGTGCTTTGATGCATTCTTTCAGGGCACATCCTTCCTTAAACAGAACAGAACACATAAAACATAATATCAGAAATGAAAAATATTGCCAGACAATCTGATAATAAAAATCATTTCAGTTTAAGAGCTTATAGGTCTTGAATTGTTCTGGGAGAAAAAAAAAAAAAAAATATATATATATATATATATTACATACATATATATATAGTATTCCATGTCCTACAGTATTGTTGCAAAAAATAATGGAACTAGGTTGATTAAAACCAAAGTAATAAAAATATTGCTTGGTTTCTGGTGTAAAACAGTACTGAGGTTCACATATCTTTCAGCTTCCCACTAACATGTCTATGAAGTCCCGAAAAGGAAAACTTCCCATTATCACCAGAAGTTAAAGGCCTGAGAGTTTATAGAACTTGGAAAGAATCTCAACTTATTATAAGGCCAATAGACTAGGAGGAAGGAAGGAAGGGAAGGTGTAAGGTAGGAAAAAAGGGGCATGCTCTCCATCTTCTTCACCATGGAGGGATTCTTTTTGAGTGCACCGAAAATGGCCTTTCCTACAACCTCTTCTCTCTCATATGCCACATTTAGTCAGAGACAGCAATGCTTAGGAAACAGCAGAATAAGGGGGTAAGTAAATAAGTAAGTAAGGGGGTGAGGAACTCATGGGTGGTTCACTGTAACCTTAGAGGTGTAAACCCAATAATTAAAGTCTTACTAAGATGGTTAAAATCCTGATAGAACTGCATACTATAGTGTATAGTGATTAATGACATCCTTATGACCAATGTGTTGGTAAGACTGGCAAAAGTAGAAGATGACCTTTTAGTCCTGCAAATCTACATAAAGTGAAGATCTGCTAAGTACTGATATTTGGGTCAAAACCTATTCATCCAGCCGCAGTTTTGAAAGGGTGTTTGAGCAGCATTTAGGCGGATAGAGTGAAGCCAGAAGAAATTTCATACATCCTACTGCTTGGCCAACCATCAGATTTGGATGAATGCATCTTCCTTAAAAAGTGAGAAAATAGAAAAACACACAACAAATCAATTCTTTGTATGAAAATTGATGACCTTCCTAAAATTATTCAATCATGCTACAAATATTCCTACATAAGAACATTAGACAAACAAACATTATTGGCCTTAGGGTGCTTACATTCTAGTGGGAAATATAGAGAAAATGAATAAAAACATAATGGAGAGATAAATATAAAGATGGATGATATATGGATAGATAGATAGATAATAGATAGATCTGATGTTATATAAGAAGGGATAAGTACTATGTATAACTGAAAAAGAAACATTGTCAATGCGGCAGAAAGGGGAAACATTAACAATTTAGAAGGGTGGTGAGGGTAGTGTTAGAGCAAAGAATTTAAAGGGAGAGAGGCCATGCATATATCTGAAAGAAGATCTCAGAAGCAGAAGAAACTTATAAGAGCTGTGGTCTGCAGAGTGGAGTGTTCATTCAGCAAGTAGCAGGCCCATGTGGGAGAGTAGAAGGAGGTGAGTTCAACAGGTTAGTCAGACGTCAGATTATGTAGAAGCTCATAGACTATGACAAGAACACTGGCGCTTACTCTAAAGAAAGAGCTCACCTATGAAAATCGTCTTGTGTTTGCAGTAAAAAATTGCTTTGAAAGATTATATATGAACCCATGCCATATGATATGGCCTCTATGAGACAAGACACAACAGCATATGGCATACAGACAATATAAATTGATATTTTAAAAGAATACATTATTATGATACAAAAGAGTGATGTAGGAAGTGGCAAAACTAAAAGTCCACTAGCAGAATTAAAATCCACATTTAGTAGTAAAACTAGTAATCCACATTTTAATAGTAAAACTACAAGTCCACTAGCAGAATTAAAATCCATCTTTGTATTTCTAAAGAGCAGAGTTGACATTTTGGAGGTGTGGATGATAAATTTTATGTTCTATCATAATGAAAAAAAGATAGCAAAGGAGAACAGAAAAGAGGGGTTCAATTTAAACATTATGAGTCCTAGAAGAATGCTCACCTCAGAAACCAGTATTCCATTTAACTGGGCACACTTATCAATATACAAAAAGAGGGAAGAATAGGGCCCTTTAATGAGGCATCTTTATAAAGATGAAAAAGACACTGAACAATAAAGTGGAAGTAAATAAAGATAGAATTTAAGAAATCTTTTCTTAGTTTGGAAAATATCTGAGCATTGCACACCAGTGTGAATGTACTTAAAACTACTGAACCATACACTAAAGATGGTAAATTTTATGTTATGTGCACTTTACCACAATAAAAAAATCCAAGCATGAGGATTAAAAGTTCTCATCATATAATAACCAAAATATCAATTTTAGAAAGGACCTATACAATAAAAAGATCCTAGGAAAAACAATTTGAAATAGGATTTAAAAAATAAAATTCAGGGCCAGCCCGGTGGCGCACTGGAGAGTGCGCCGCTTGGGAGTGTGGTGGCACTCCCACCGAGGGTTCGGATCCCACGTGGAGACCAGTTCCCGCTCACTGGCTGAGCAAGGTGCGGGCGCAACACCGAGGGTTGCGATCCCGTTGCCGGTCCCCGGTATGGGCATGACACTGAGGGTTGCGATCCTGTTACCGGTCAGTAAAAAAAAAAAGACAAAAAAAATAATAATAATAAATAAAATAAATAAATAAAATTCATATAATTACATAGGCAGAAAAAAGTCAAATTAACTGCAACAGAACAGATAGTAACATGACTCCTTCAGATGAGACTCCAAAGGAGTCTGCTCCTTTATAACACTAAATTCAGAAGGCAAGAAAGCTTGATGTGATAACTGAAGAGCACATTCTAAGAATTTTATGCCCACACTTTAGTCCTATACATGTGACGATTACAGATAGGTCTTCTTAAACATACCAAGGCAAAGAAAATGAGACACCCTCATAATCTTTTTGAAAAAATGATAAACCTTGTTAGAAGTACTCCTTTCTATAGAGAGGTAAAAATTAAGAACTCTCAATTAAAAAATAAACATTGATATAAGAAAATAAAAACTCAAAAACGGGGAGTTGTTGGTCTAAAACGACGTATGCCTGCTCCATAGCACCAGCCAATTCAGCACAAGAGTCCTTGAAGAATCCTCAGTTCAGGAAACAGTATCACATTTAACTGGGCACACTAATCAATATAAAACAACAGGGAAGAATAGGCCCCTTTAACAAAGCATCTTCATGAAGATGAAAATCAAATTAATTATGAATTTTAAATATCTCATTGTGGGATTGGACACAAAATATTTATCTGAGCAAAACATATCAAGAAAAGTATAAAACCCTATTCTGAAGCCCAATTACATGTAACTATATCAATGTTTAAAAACAAAATGCACACGCATGCCTAGAAAAATGGCTGGAAAAAAAAAATACCAAAATGATAACATGATTGATTATCTTTGAGTACATTTTTCCTCTTTTAACTTTCTACATTCCCCAAGTATTCTTTAATAAATTTGAGTTACTTTTTTATAAAAATTAAACATTTTTATTACAAATTCATAAAAAACAAACTTTCATTTCTAAATAGTAGAAACAGGAAACTAACCCAAATCTTTTCAATCCATAGTTCATACCCTTTACTAGAGAGCAATGCCTATCACACATGAAAACAGTAATCCTGGGTGCTCTTCAATGCTCATCAGCCACAAATTCCATGTCTGATAGTGGAAACAAACAAAACTAATTATTATTCTTCTCAGCTATTCCCCGTCCTCTACTATTCAAGATATTACAATGCACTAAAGGACTAATGAAACTGAAGAGTTACTGCTACAGACTTTTAAAAGAACAGCAGACCTGACTACGGCCAGGCCAGGGAAAAAGAACCTCGTCAGTGAACCTCAGACAGTGTCCAGCACTGTACCTTCTTATTACAAATTCATAAAAAACAAACCTTTTCATTTCTAAATAGTAGAAACAGGAAACTAACCCAAATCTTTTTCAATCCATAGTTCATACCCTTTACTAGAGAGCAATGCCTATCACACATGAAAACAGTAATCCTGGGTGCTCTTCAATGCTCATCAGCCACAAATTCCATGTCTGACAGTGGAAACAAACAAAACTAATTATTATTCTTCTCAGCTATTCCCCATCCTCTACTATTCAAGATATTACAATGCACTAAAGGACTAATGAAACTGAAGAGTTACTGCTACAAACTTTTAAAAGAACAGCAGACCTGACTATGGCCAGGCCAGGGAAAAAGAACCTCGTCAGTGAACCTCAGACAGTGTCCAGCACTGTACCTTTGCCGTGGCATCCTCTGGGTCATCTCCTTTGGAGGCCAGCAGCATGAGTCGCAGGACCAGGGAAATGCTCAGAGGGAACTGTCCTCTCAGCTCAGGAACCTTGGATTTTATGAGTTTTCCTATTTTGGGCAATGGAATATCAAAGAAATACACATCTCCCAACAGGTCTTGACCTCGTCTTCCAGCACGACCAGACATCTGGAAACACAAGACAATCACCATGTAAAACCTCCCTAAATATTTTTCCTATCAGTACATACAGGAATTAAGCCTTTTACATTGGTTTGGAGCCAGAAAATTGTGCATATGCCCATCCATTAATGAAGTGAAACTAATACTAATGTGGGGCTTAGGGAATTTACCATGACTGAGACAGAGCTGGCAAATGAGACATTTATCATTATTATGTACTTATATCTTGCCATTAATTGTATCAGGCATTTGTATAATGATACATAGAAGAAACAAAGAACAACAACAAAAAAAGATTATACCCTGAGGTCAAGTTCACTTGTAGCTGAACTCTTTTATACCAACTTTCTCTCCCTCATCACCTCCTCTCTCTCTCTCTCTCATCCTTTTCTCCCCTGTCCTCACATACACACACGTGTTGAGTTACAAATCACAAAATAAAAGCTGTCAACAAATAGAGGAAATAAAATTTACTGAGTGATAAAATTCAGAAATATGTGTGAAAAGCAAGTTAAGAACAAATTCTTTACAGAAGTTTTGTTAATTGGCATTTATTGAGTACTTAGAATGTGCTAAATCCCTTATACTTTTTTATACAGACCTCACAACCACATATCAGGTATATATCATCATTATCCCCATTACCTGTATAATGTGGAACCTCAGGCGTGAGGAATATAAGAAAACTGCCCATAGTCAAAAAATCAGAAAGTAGAAGTTCCAGGATTCAAATCCTGGCATTTTGATTCCCCAGTCCATTGTCCCAAATATATCATATCATCCTAGCTCCAGAGCCATGAATATGAGATTCCCAAAGATGTGACAGAAGATTCCATATGGAATGTAGCAGCAGGAGTAGAAACAAAAAACACAGGGGTTGGTAAAGTGTGTATATGTGTGTGTGTGTGTGTGCGCGCGCGCGTGTGTGTGTGAGTGAGAGAGAGAGACAGAGACAGAGAGAGAGAGAGAAATGATAAGTATGTCATATTGGGTAGGAACAAGGCCTATAAATAGATTATGTGTGTGCGTGCGCGTGTGTGTGTGAGTGAGAGAGAGAGACAGAGACAGAGAGAGAGAGAAATGATAAGTATGTCATATTGGGTAGGAACAAGGCCTATAAATAGATTAAAAAGTGTTTAGACAGGAAGGGAGAGAGGCACTTTGATAAAAACTTGAATGTTGGCTGACATATCTAAATTTGATGCTGCCAGGAGAAAAAAAATCATAAAATGATCCTGAGCAGGGAAACCATATGAAGACAAACTGTGCTGTCTGCAGGACATGGTAGAATAAGAACTGAGAATCAAGGAAACTGTTCTAATAATACAAAGCCAAGAATGTACAATGAAAGGTGGTGGATTCTGAAGTTGCAAGCAAAAATTGAATACCACTATAGGGAGTAAGGAAGTAGGCTTGGTAATAGATTGTGTGTCAGGAGCAAAAACAAGGGAGACATCAAAGACAACTTCACAGTGCAAAATCTTGTGGATAGTAAATAAATGAGTAAATGTTTATTGAGCACTTTTGAGATGTATCTTTCTTACAAATCATTTTAATTCTTGCCAATGTCATGGGATAGTAATTATCACCAATAATCTGGAGATAGGAAAGAAAGATCAGTGTAGATATCTCATCCAAGGTCATACATCTGGTTAGCAGTAGTCACAAAATCCCAAACTCATGTGGCTTTCCACTATACCACAGCTAAAAATGACAGCCAGGCATGGACGGATGCCAAGGTATGTTACTGTGTAACAGAGACAAAAAAAGGATTACTCAAAGCACCATGAATGCATTGAGAAGCCCGAAGTGTCTGTATTCCAGAGGAAAACTGGGTTAAAGCACTCATTCAAAGTTACCTTCTGTCTTTTATTGTAAAAACAAGAAAGTTTAACAAGAAAATTCAGTTTATTCAATTATTACAAAAAGACAGAAGGACATGGGCAGGGTTACAAAAGTTATCTATGGCTAAGTATAGCTTAACAATGGAAAGTAGTAACATCAGTAGAATAAACAAAGGGACATTCCAAAGTATGATTAGTGAAAAGCTAAGTTGGTCAAACTGGCTCATTATCTAAAGTATAACCTCTCCTTAAGCAAAAGTTACATTCTTATGAAAAAATCTAAATCCAATTATCTCTAAAGTTTCCCCCAACAGACAGCCTGCCCTAGCAAACATTTTTTTCCCAACTTTCCCTTCAGCAATTCTTTTTTTTTTTTTTTTTTGTCTTTTTTCGTGTCCGGCAACGGATCGCAACCCTCAGTGTCGCGCCCGTACCGGACCGGGACCGGCAACGGGATCACAACCCTTGGTGTTGCTCCCACACCTCGCTCAGCCAGTGAGCGGGAACCGGTCTGTATGTGGGATCCAAACCCTCATTAGGAGCGCCACCGCGCTCCCAAGCGGCGCACTGTAGCAGTGCGCCACCGGGCCGGCCCAGCACGCGCTCCCAAGCGGCGCACTGTAGCAGTGCGCCACCGGGCCGGCCCAGCAATTCTTAAAATCTCTTAACAGGATTGGTATGACAACCACCTGTTATCTCTAAAAACATTAAAGTATGCAATCCCATACCTAAACAGTGATTAGAGTTGATTAGATGGGCTTTTGCCTCACTATCTTTGGGCTGTGGCACCCTACCTGAGGGTTTTTGCCCTATGCATGCATTTACCTAAAAACCCTATTCTAAAATCAAATGAGCATGAACATTATTTAATTTAGAATGGTTTAGATATGCTATCTGTGGGCTGTGTCCCCCTACCCTCAGGGTTTTTGCCCCATACATGAATTTACCTAAAAACCCTATTCTAAAATCAAATGAGAATCAAGATTGGTAACCCCTCAACAAAGGTATGCTAGACCATAAATTGCAGCATGTTTGTAAACTAAAAGCTTCTGGGTTTTTTTTATTATTCTATGGTCATATTTTAACAATACAACAAGCAAGTTTATGCATATTACAATACCTGTCTGTAATTTAAAGCATCCAGATAGACTGAGTTTTGAGCAAAAACTACAGATTTACAAGGCATGTTGACTCCTAAAGCAAGTGTCCCAGTAGCTGTCACCACCTAGAAAGAGAATAAAACAATTATTTCATAAAATAACACTGTGCTAGAATGCAGGTGTTTCCTGCCATATAATTTCTGAAAAACTCTTTGAATTTCAAGTAAACCATAGTGAGAAAGCTAGAGATACTAGACACACTGGTATTCTTGCTGTTTCATGAATACAGCAAGCACATTCCCCAAACTGGGACATTACAGCTGTTTGCTTTGCACAGAACATTCTTCCCCCAAATATTAATTTCTCTGACTCCTTCAGTTATCTGCTGAAATGGCACAGAGGAATTTGTGGACCATCACATTTAAAATAAACACTCCCTACCATCACCACCTCTCTCTCTGTCCTGCATGATTTCTTTTCATAGTATTAATGACTACCTCAATAATATTAGTAGTTAGTGTACTTGTCCTGTACCAGACTTCAACACCATTCCCCATTGTATCTCTAGCACCGAGAAGAGTACCTGGCACATGATAGGTGTTCAGTAAATATTTTTAAATAAATGGCTGAAAGGGGAATTTCCCTATGATAGGACAATAATATTTTTCCAAACCCACTGGGAAATTACCTACTTCATTTACAGTAATTTGTTAAGATTATATCTATGGAAATATCATCTCAGTAATAACAGAAAAATAAAGTTTCTTTTTTTCCCCTGAATTATCATGATAACTGACGAGGAAAAGGAGTAAGGCAAAGTTTAAAATTTATTTAGATAATTCACCTTTTTGCTCATTTTTTCTTCTAATGCTGTATATTTCTAATTGTCCTCTATGTTTATGTTGATTGTCATACATGCCATAGTTAGTGTTAGTGTTTAAGTATATAGAGTAATTTTTTCCAACTATTCATTACAGATGTATACATCTGTCAAAATGCAACACACCACTTATTAGCTGTTTTTCTAAAGTTCCTTAATAAGAACAAAAATGGGGAAAATAAGAACATTAAATTTAGAAAATCACTACAATAAATACCTTTTGAAAAATGTGTTCTATAGAGCAAAGCTATCACTATTTCCATAATGCCTTTTCTAGAGTGACCTAGTTATTCATCCACTAAACTATTAGCAATTGAGCAACTACTGTTTAATAGATACTATTTTAGACACAGGATATGCTGATCAAAATAGGTGTGCCACTTTTCTCTCAATTTATATCATGTAGAAAAAATTGTCTCTGGTTATTAACCTTTAAAATAAGTAAATAATTTGTTGTTTGTTAAGAGAAAAACTTAGCAAAGTTGTTAATGTATTTTGATTGTTTTTTCCAGAAAACAGAATTACTCTTTAACTGTGGTGTCAGATTTTCCTCAACATTTAGTTTATTAAGATTAAAAGATGGTACCTAGAGCAGCAGAATCAATCTCAATCTCTCTCTCTCTCTCTCTCTCCCCCTTTCTTTCTTACATACAACCCACTCACCCACACACCCACACACATGCACACATATGAATATAACGTATATCATACAAAATGTAATATGGATAATTTTTAAAAGTCAAGGTCTATTTTTATAGATATTTAATGGATATTTTTATAATATTAAAGATCCAAATTTACTAGAAAATTACATAAATCCTCTTTGTGAATTTATCCAGATGATACCCATGCACCCTCATGGGACATACTAAACAAAACATAACAAGGATTTGGTTTGAATGTTTTTATAAGTTAATCTTTCTCTTGTCTACTATCAGTGACAGGAGGAGAACATTTAGGAGCAACACATCTAAAAATTCTGCTGAGATATGCAGCGGGCCCTAAGCAAGCAATATATTCTTGCTCTTCTTTCAGCTATTACATTAGAAAAAGACCTTACCAAAACTCTATTATAAATGGCCTCCAAACCCATGAAAGAATATCTGTAACCAAAATTATATGAAGAGCTGACAAAATTCCCTAGATACTATAAATGAAAAAAGAGGTTGTGCCAAGATCAGCATAGGTGTATTTCATTATAAGAATATTTGGAAAAGTACCTGTTTAGGAAATATTTTTATTCTCATGACAAATAAATAAACTGAATGATACACTTTAAAGTCCCTTCCCCAATTAAATGAAGGAATATACAGTCACATCATGGGTCGTAAAAAACACAAAAGAGGCAGGGAGAGAGAGGGAGGAAAAGGAGGAATTGATAAAGGGACATGAAAATCAACATTGTATATTGATAAATTAAAATTTAAAAAACCACAAAAGACATAAATACATGAGCAAAAGTGAAAAAAAGTGGTTATAGTTTTTACTTTTCATAAACATTTAGTTTCATATAATCATGTCTTCAATTTTTAGAATGAAAAAATTTACCTACCCTGATAAATCCTTTTCTAAAGAGAATTTCAACTAATTGTTTTTCTTTGAAGCTCATAGATCTGTGATGGTATCCAATACCCCTTTCTGCCAAAGCTTTCAGTTCTGCACCTTTTCTTTGAAATTTTACTCGATCAAACACCATCTGCAAAGTCTAAAAGAAGCACGAAGTTTAGGGATTTTGATAATTTCTTATGTAATTTTAATTTAAATTATAACAGGAAAATGTTTAAATGAAAAGAACATGCATACTATGTAATAATTTAGCTAAATAATGCAACTGGTTGAAATCCACTCTACATAAATGAAAAAACATTTTGTGGCAGCAGCAGTAACTACAGGATCTTCCCAATTCTTTGAACAGACTACCCAAACTGTCTTTCCACACTGCTGGGGTGAAAACTAGGACAAAGTACTAGATAAAGCACCCCAGGGAGGTGTGAGTGTGTGACCTGCTCTCGCCTGAGGCAGCTGAACTCCTTCTGGGGACTTAGGAGTTCTCCCCAGAGAGAGAGGGACTTCTCCAGTAAGGCCGAGCAGGTTCCTTACCCTACATGGTCATGGAATGCTTACTTCCCACTGCAAATCAGTCACAAATGGCCTTAAAAATATCCATGCCCTAAGGAGGAAATCCGATTGTTTCTAGAGCTATATGTACAAAAATAAACACTGCTATGGGGGGAGCATGGGGCACTAAGTATCCATAAGCAAATGGGTGGTTGCTGGTTACTTCAGTTATCTCAATTATACCGTCATTCATACAATGGAATAGCAAGGATCCATTAAAATGATGATGTAAACACATGGTTATGAAAAAGGAAGAGACCACAACATTTATATAAGAAGGTATATGATAGAATAAACACACACACATGTAGTCACAGGTAAAAGAGATAAAAGTTTCATCTAGAAGGGCTGTGATTACTTTTGAGTGATGACATTGCTTTTATTATTACTGATTTGTACTTTCAAATCTGTCTTTTTTTTAAAAAAAAAAAAAGATGACTGGTAAGGGGATTTCAACCCTTGGCTTGGTGTTGTCAGCACCACGCTCAGCCAGTGAGCCAACCGGCCATCCCTATATAGGATCCGAACCCATGGCTTTGGTGTTATGAGCACCACACTCTCCCGAGTGAGCCATGGGCTGGCTACCATAAGCATGAATAATGTACATAGCAAAGAGTTTTCAAACCAGAAATGGCATACCATTTCTTGATATTCCCATGCCTGTATGGTGGAATGTTTTAGCTGTAGTATAGAAAGCCTCTGATTCTGATGAATTCTTTCAATATTATTTGAAGTGTATTGCACCACATGTACCCATTTTTTAAAATGAGGCATGTGAGATTGAAGTCTAGAATTCAGGCTGCAAAAAACAATATAATAGAAATAATGAAAGGTCAGACACCCTCAGGGGTGAACTGGTAACAAGTTAGAAATAATCTACAAATCCTAATCATGTCCTTTTTAGATATATGCTGTAGAGCTGTCAGGAATTATGTGTAGCCAGAAGGTCCTACACGGAGATTTCTCTTCTGGCAGGGATCGAATTTAGTTAGTATGTTAAACACTGCCTATAACTGAGAAGCTATGGCTGATGAATGAAGTCATCTGTTCCATTCAAGTGCTTACCTCAGCATCTATCACTTTTTGATCAGCATGTGTGCAGTCCTGAGGGATTTCCAGGTTTTTCTCTAGACTCTTCAGTAGATTATCATGTTCAGCTTCATGTATTAGGCTTTGGTCCATTTTTCTGGTTTTTTTCTGGCTTCTTTCATCTCTGTTCATAAAGATAAAATTTTAAGTAATGAATATTCATGTTTGAACACCATAGGAAGCTCGTCTTCCCAAAACCCTCTAATCATCCAGACTTTCGCAGCTACGTACATCTGTAATACTGTGACTCAATCTTGTTCCTCTAATGAACTTCCTCTTCGGCCTCTAAAACTTACGATCCCTCATGAAAAAATTCCTCTATGTATTCATATTTTCTATGATGTTCCCTTTCTTTCTTGTTGTAGCCTTCTTACCAAGTCCAGTTCTCCCCAGATGTCCCTGCCTCTCCTTGATGAAGCAATGATCATTTCCTCTTCCTCAGCCCTCATGACACTAGGCTAAGGTAAGACAGGTGTTCTCTTAGCGTTTGACCACCATAGGAAGCTCGTCTTCCCAAAACCCTCTATCATCCAGACTTTCACGGCTACGTACATCTGTAATACTGTGACTCAATCTTGTTCCTCTAATGAACTTCCTCTTCGGTCTCTAAAACTTACGATCCCTCATGAAAAAATTCCTCTATGTATTCATATTTTCTATGATGTTCCCTTTCTTGTTGTAGCCTTCTTACCAAGTCCAGATCTCCCCAGATGTCCCTGCCTCTCCTTGATGAAGTGATGATCATTTCCTCTTCCTCAGCCCTCATGACACTAGGCTAAGGTAAGACAGGTGTTCTCTTTGCTCCACGTTGCCAATTCCAGGCCATTCTCCTGCCCTCCTTGTAGTGGATGCCCCAGCTGCTCTGGGTGTGGCTGCTAAAGGATCACAGCTGCACCATTCCCTACAGAATTGCCCTCAACCAAGAGGAGCCTTCTAGAAATGCCTCAGAGGTTGCAACCTCTTCTGGCAGTGGAAAAGGCACACAGCCAATGACTGACTGATGTGAGGTATAAAAATCAGCCCCCTTGACTCAAGATGAGACAAATCTGTGGTGCCCCCGAGTTCCCAGTAGGGTCAGGCTCAGGCTATATTCTAGCAAAGCCCACGTCCTTGCTTGTCTTATTCACCTTCCCTTTCCTGCCTCCCTCACTTTCTTACAGGTCCCTCATGAGTGCACCCCTTTAATAATTCAGTTACACAGATCTCTTCATCTCAGTGGGTGCTACTGGAGAATCTCACCTAAGACACCCCTCCATAAACCCTGGCTCAGACTCTCGTGTCATCAGACTGTATTATCC